CACTGGAGGACGCTCTAAAAATGTGAAAACCAGAAAAAAAGCAAGTAGAAGGCAAAGGTTCGACATGGTCAGCGCACCAAGTGGATCAGACGAATAATACTCAGTGGTTCGTGTCTGTTTCAAGATATATTTATTGCTTTTTATTATCACCAGGTCGATATAGGGGGAATGACATGCCCCTAGGGCGTGGCTTATTTAGTAGCACCGGATATCATGGAGCAGCATGGTTCAGACACGAGCAAATAAGATCAAGAGAAGTGTACCAAGCGTTAGCATGGAACGGTATGGCGAAGTCAGGAGATGTAAGAGCTGAGAGGTAGATTGCAGTGGGTTGCATGGAGTAGCATGGTGCACACGCTTGAAGAGAGGGTTCAGAGAAAAATAGCAGAGTATAGCATGGAGTAGTATGGGGCAGACCCGTGAGAATAAGGTACAGAGGATAGTAGCAATGAGGAGCATGGAGTAGCATGGTGAAGAGAGGGGAGAATACGGTATAGATTAGAGTAGCATAGGGTAGCATGAGTCGTATGGTGTATACGGGAGAGGAGCTAGAGATAATATATTTCGCCGAAAGCTAATGGAGCCTCTACCGAGATTTCTTTATCCGCCACTGCTAACCGCAGTCTCGTAGACTCGGCACGAAAATGTGTCATATAAAAAAAAAGATCCAGATAACGACTGGATCTTCTGTTTTTCTGGAGTATCTGAACGCTCTGATGAACTTTTTCACTCGTTTGTTTTTGGTTCGCTTGAGAATTATCTCCTTGGAATCCCCATGTTTCTCATGGGGATTCCAAGGAGATAATTCCTGCCCTTCCGACTGCCCTGTCCGTTTCCGGTCGGAACGGAACGCCGAAAAACCGGGAAATTTTCTTGTGGGACCCGAAATTCTGAAACAAGGCCAATAAAGATGAATTATTGGCCGACATCTTTCACTGTTCTCAATTCCTGCCGCTGGAAAAAAAAAGGGCTAACCCCCAGGAATGATTTCTTTGCCTCCATTTGACGTGGGAAGATCGATCGAGCGTTGCTTTTAGTCTTCGTGATTTATGAAGTGGTTTTTACCCTGGGGTTTCTCTCGGTTGCTTTGTAAGGCAATCGTAAGGCAATTGCAAGGCAATCGTAAGGCAATTGTAAGGCGATCAGAGTGAGAGATGTCGGATCTCCCGTAATTCTGCTCAGGGTTGCTCAGGAAAGAACTCGGTCGACATGATTGAATTTCTTCCCCCCCAAGAGCGATCTGCTGCATCCAGGCCGACAGGATCGGCCCCATATCGGCGATTTCATGACGCTCTTTTGCTTTTGGAAAATCTTCAGGCGAGAAATTTCTGGGCTGACCGTGAAGGAATTTTTCGCTTAATTGTTCTGATCGGTTGGAAATGTAAAAAAAAAAAAATAGGTTTAAACGTTTACATGAGAAAATTTCCGCGCCTAAGA